GTGTTTGTAATCACCAAAGGATAAAGCCTATCGAAAATCAGAATAATTGAAAAATATTTAGTATGAATTAATTCCATTGTTCTTGAAAATGCGTTCAATTTTTAGCTCGTAAACACTCCAGAAGGCACAAATCTTGACGGATTTAGATGAAACTTGGTATGAGTGTTAGTAATCACCCAAGGATAAACCCTGTTGAAAATTAGAATAATCAAGAATAATTAATATGAGTTATTGTCCTTGTTCTTGAAAACGCGTTCAATTTTTAGCTCGTAAACGCTTGACTGATTTCGATGAAAAAAAAAAGATTAGTATGAATTATTGAAACTTGGTATCTGTTTTAGCAATCACCCAAGGATGAACTCAGAAAATCAGAAAAATCGAAAAAATTCAAATCCACAATTCTTGATGGATTTTGACGAAATTTGGCGTGAGAGTTTGTTGTCAACCAAGGATAAACCTTATCGAAAATCAGAAGAATCAAAAAATATTTAGTATGAGTTATTGCTCTTAAAAAACTTGTTCAAGTTTTAGCCTTTAAACACTATAGAAGGCCCAATTTTTGACAGATTTTGACGAAACTTGATAAAATTATTCAGTATCGCCTCAAAACATTCAAAAGAAGTGTATGTCTGAAGGTTGAATATTTCATACTGGTAATTGTTACTGTACTGCCAAATATTTTTATTTAAAATCAAAGCTGCCAGTGGACGTATATTACCCGGCAAGCTATCTTGTATTTTATAAAATTATTAAAAATTTGTTTTCCTTTAGCACACTGGTTCCCAATCTGAATGTCCAGATATGTTTGCAATATGTAATAATACACCCGTACTATGCGTGTGTAGGGTTGTGTAGGATGCCTATCGAAACGGTAAGCTTGCATAGGTGTAAAGTTACTACGTGAATGATTGACAGTTAAGTCCAACCAGCTAACAACTGTCAAAAAAGCAAGAGGCTGGAATAGAGGCAGATTTTTCGAATTTAGATTGAAAGGAAAGTTCTCATCAGCACTGGTAGGGAAAATTGCCTTATTTTGCAGTATGGGGTAAGGCGGCATTCCATGAATTATTTCATAGAAGGCAACCACACCACTGACAAACACCACGTGTCTGCTATTTGAACTTGCTACCTTTCCAACTCTAAACCACATGGTGCAGAAAAGTAGGACGTAAAACCCCATTCATTTCATTTCATTTCCAATTCTAAACCAATAAGGCTGGTATTAGTATTTATGCAGGCTATTGCATTCTTTTTAATCGACTCCATATTTGCCTGAGACGGCCTCCGCATTTTAACCCGAAGCGCCAACGTATTTTTAGCATAAGTAGAGGTCAAGAATTCACTCTTGCTTGAAGAGTTCAACTAGAACGAAACCAGTACAAACAAGATCAAGGGTAACCTGACAGAGAGTTCTAGATTAACTGAATTTCTTAATTTTGTCCCGGGTTGCTTTAAAACATTGACTAAATCAAGTATCAGTGCTATCACAAAAATACATTTGGTTGGCTAATACCATGATGCATGAATTGTTGCCATTTCAAAAGCTGTCTACAAAAACATTGCACATTATCACATAATGGCATGCTCATTTTTTATTATCGATTTCAATAGGTGGCTAAACTATATATAGCTATATATGATATCTGTATTATATCTGTATTCTTTGTAATCTGTCACCTGATTTGTCGTGAGATCCCACGTACAGACAGACCTGAATACTACATTAGTGACAGATGTCGTAGGAGGCAAAAAAATAACCGACAAACATGCGAGATACGTGTGTATTTAAGAAAAAAGCGCTAGGATTAGGTTAAGGTTTTCGCCCAAACATTTCAAACTTTACGTTAACTAGTCAGTCTAACTCATAACTGTAATATATATTTGTCTGTCGATTTAACCTAGCAGAACAAGTTAATATCCTCTTCCATCATTTCATTGTGTACAGTTTCAGTTAGAATCATGGATCGTGTAGATTTTTATAATTTTATCTTGCTATAAAGTCACTTCAACCTTCTACTCCTTAATGATGGTCTAGTCAATAATATAGGAAGAATTGCTGGAGAGGAATTTAAGATGTCTAGTCTTGTTTATGATGGTCAATGTGGTCCCCGAGGAAAAATAATATTTACACTCAAGTTCATCGATCAAGAACGTATTAGGAATATTTCCATGCAATTCCAATAATTTGCCTTATTTTGACATCTGCCATTATAAGTCCGACTAAAAATCGCTTGTTTACGCTTGTTTGACCAGTATATCATTTTGTATTGTTAAAAATCGTATTACATGTATATCTCAAAGACTTTTTCGGATAATGAGCAGTATCCCTCCTTTGAACATTATAATATATGATGTTCCGATGCAGGTTCACTATAAGTGGTCCATACTGTATATTATATACCACAGCCTTTAGATGTGTGAACTCTTTTAGCAGGATGTCAAGCTTACAAATTTGCAAGGGAATATCAGACGTACAAGAAAGTTTGAGTGTTGAAGTCTAACCAATAACGACGTTTTTTCAAACTAGATGGGTTGCCCACTCATATAATATTCACGATTTGCGTATGTGTGCTCATATTCACAAGACATATCGTACAAATGACTTGAAAATCACTTGACACCATGAAGATTTATTACC